AGAGAGAGAGAGAGAGAGAGAGAGAGAGAGAGAGAGAGAGAGAGAGAGAGAGAGAGAGAGAGAGAGAGAGAGGAGCGATACAAGATTGGTTGTGCTGTCCAAGACAGGAGGTGGCGGCCATAACCGCTGAAGCTCGGACACAGGGTTACCAAGGAGAAAGAAGATGAAGTAGAGGAGAAGGGAGAGACGAAGGAGAAAGAAGCCATAGCCGAGGAAGGAGAAGGGAGAGACGAAGAAGGGAAAAGAAAGACATAGCCGGGGTGAAGGAAGAAGAAAGTCAGAAAGAAGGAAGGAGGGAGAAGGAGAACAACGAAGGTTGGTGAGGAAGAAAGCGGCCGGCAGCTATAGCCGAGTTGAGCTTTGACTGAGGCATTGACCGGGCAGTTGACCAGGGTTGACCGTCGTTGACCAAGGTGTTGACCAGGAAGTTGACCAGCGTTGACCAAGGCATTGACCGGAGTTGTTGACCACGAAATTGACCAAGCTGGAGTTGGTATAATCTCGCCAAGCCTTTAGCCTATCCCCTCGCCCTATGGATGTGCACTCACCCCATGGTACTTGCCGAGTCTGACTGTCTTTCCTTTCTGCATTGAGTCTCTTTTGTCCAGGTGATAGGAACTCTGTGTATGTGGTCGTAGAGATTTGCTGACCAAACCCACATAGGCTGAGTAGGGCTAAAGGCCGTGTCTGACGACTGACTGACCCGGAGGACAAACCCTCCCAAGGACTGGTACAGACCGGCGGGGTGCTCAGTGTGGCATGGTAGGCCCAGAATCCGGTTTGTGGGTTTCACAACAAGCTGTCTAAGTCTTGAGAGGACTTGCTGATATCGTTGTCCTGTTTGCGACGTTAAATAATTCCCGAGGAGTTACAGGGGATCTCCTTAAATGCCTCCTGATCAACATTGAGTCCTGTAGTGACAGTTGTAGTATTAGGTCCACGCTAGTGACCATAGTTTACAGGGTCCTATACGGATCCTGTGGTCCTTTTAGACAATCAGTCAATCCAGTGGGTAGGTCTAAGTGGTGAGGAGTGGGACAATCATTGTCGTGCACCTGACACCATGGAGGACTACCCTATGTACGGTCTGCTCGTGGGATTCTCCCTCTGGGGGGCCCTTTGGCGTCTCCTCTTTCCGTTGGGGTTTTGGAACACCTTTACGTGTAGAGTAGAGACCAGGGGTGGTGTTAGCACCACTTCCTACACGGAGCAGGAGGAGGAGGCTGCGAGGAGCTTGGCCGAGCAGAAGGCCAAGAAGGAGAAGAAGGAGGTAGTAAAGCAGGCCAAGAAGTTGGCCTTATTGCAGGAGCAGGCCGCGAAAAGGAAAAAGTTGGAGGAGGAGTTAGAAAGGGTGAAAAAGGAGGAGGAAGAAAAGTTGAAAGCAGTGGAGGCAGAAGAAGAAGAAGAAGAGAAAAAGGCAGAAGAAGTTCCCGTGATCAGAAAGAGAGGGGAGTCCAGTGGCACGAAGAAGGAGGAGGACCCGTGGTTGGAAAAGAAGGTGTCTGAGTGGGTCGCTAATCTATCCCTGGGAAAGGATGAGGAGGCAATGATGTATGTGCCAAGGGCAAAACACGAGGTGGTAGTAAAAGAGTGGGAAGCAAAAAAAGACCCCTTAAAACGCCAGAATATAGAAGAAGAGAAGAAGCTGGAGTGAAAGTTGCGCTTGACCAGGGAGAAGAAGAAGAGAATGGAGGAGGCAAGTAAGGCAGCAAAAGAATTGGAGGTGGTGAAGCAGCTAAGGGCGCAGATGGAAGTGCAGACGGACCTGCAGGGGAAGATGGATGCAATGGCCAGGAATATACAACTCATAGCTAGGGCCCAAGAAGAGCAATATCAATTTGCATGGGCCTAGGATGTAGCTTTGCGGTCCATACGCGTAGGGCTCAGGGAGTGTGCACGAGAAATGATGATGCACGTGGGCACAAAAGTACAGGCCAGGATGAAGAGCACAGAGCGATTCTGCACTGGTGCCATAGAAGGCGCCAAGCTAGTAGCTCTAAGGGAGGAGGAAGCACGTCCCCATAGGGATCCAGTAAAGGTTAAGTTCCCTGATCCCTACAGTGGGAAGAAGGGAGAAAACTTTGACAACTGGGAGGCGAACATTAATTCATATGTTCACCTCCAGAAGATCGTGCCTGAGGAGCAAGTCCTAATTGCTTTCCACACCCTTAGGGACGAGGCAGTAAGCTTCGCTTGATCGCTTGCCCGCGCTGCAGATTGCGAGAATGATATGGTAGCTTATTCTGCGACAACCTCCCTGAGCGCATCCCTTAAATTGTTGCGCGATAGATTTGCTGATGTGACTAGAGGGATTAGGGCTTCAGATAAGCTCCAGACCATCCACTCACGTCAGTGGAAGAGTGTTAGGGCACTCAAAGGAGTCATGGACGAGTTAGTAGCTGTCCCTGGCCATGGAGTCACACAGACTCAGTTGGTCCAACTATTTTATTGTGCCATGCCCGAGCCCTTGCGCGGGCACTTCTTCGAAAAGAGCAAGGAGCCCACTATGACCTACAATACCCTGAGTAGGGAAGTAGTGGCTTTGAAGCACAGTCCATGCCAGCTACCACCTTCTGGCATAAGGATCTGGACAAGGGCAAGAAATGGAAGGGCCATACCATCTCGGGCCAAGTCAAGGCCAAGGATCATATGATCCTGATGTTCGGTGAAGGTGGTATGGAGGAAGTCCCCTATGATCAGATAGAGTGGGGATTAGAAGAGGACGATGACAGTGACAATAGTCAGGGGAGGACCTACGTTGCTGTCGTGGCTGGAGGGAGACCGCAAGGAAGAGGAGGAGGCTGGGGCCAAGGGGGTCAGGCTTTCGGTGGTCGTGGACAAAGCGATCAGGGGGTTGGCGGTAAAGGAAACCGCCAAGCGGGCGGTAGGGGTCAAGGTCCCCCACAAAACCGCTCTCGTTTTACTCGATCACCTCCCAGGAGGAGGGGATGGCACCCTGGCTTGCCACAAGGCAGGCCCTGGGAAGATATGGGCCTAGAGCAGACAGTTTGGTAGAGGAGGATAGATCAGGATCAGTGTATCTATTGCAGTGACCCTGGTCATATTATTAAATACTGCCCTAAGTACAGAGAGGCCTGGTTTGCTGCACAGGCAGCAAAAAGCAACCGCTGGTAGGGGTTGCAACTGCCCTTACCCCTAGACCATGTGGAGAAGAGTGTGCGCACCACATAGAAACTCCCAAACCACATGTGTCTATGGAAGAGGTTGTTGGCTAGTGCCTAGACAACTGTCCAGAGACTGCTTGTGTTAGAGTCTCTCTAGGCACTTCCCTCACAGGCGTGGCAACAAAGTTGAAGGAGAGGATGCCTGCTTGGGCCAAGATGAAGAAGGATGCGAAAGGACAACTGGTTTTAGTAGATGTAGAGGTCTTTAGAGGTAGAGTAGGGGCCCTTATAGATAGTGGGGCCACCCGCAACTATATCGGTAGAAAAGCGTTGCAGAAGTTGAAGTTGAATCTCAAAGTCCAAAAGCTAGAGGACCCTATAGTTATCATCCTCGCAGACAATCGCGTTATGCGAGTCGAGGATTATGTAGAGAGAGTCCAGCCGTATTTTCGCCTAGAGAAGGATGGGAAGGTGGAGAAAGTTCTTCATTCCCTGACTCTCCTCGTAGAGGACAACCTTCCTTTCGACATGGTCCTAGGAATGGATCGGGAAGAGGCAGCAGGGGCCACACTCCACTTGAGAGAGCACGAGTGTAGGCTCCCTAGTCCATCGGGTGAACTCAAGACTGCTCGCCTGTTTCATGTATCAGGAGTAGATAACACCCTGGCACATTGTTGTCTCAGTGCTCCCACGTTTGCGCGATTAGTGAGGAAGGAATAACTAGAAGAGTAGGTTTTTGTAGCCTATGTTAGGCCTGTTACTGAGCCTAAGGAAGAGAAGCCTATGGATCCAGTCATTGCCAAACTGCTGGAGGAGTATACTGATTTAGCTCAGCCACCTGTAGGAGTAGTGTCGCAGCTCATCCAACATCGCAATGAGATAGAGCCTGGCAGTAGAACTCCGAAGGGGGCCGTGTACAGAATGTCCCCAAAAGAGTTAGAGGAACTGCGTAAGCAGCTAGATGAGCTCCTAGAGAAGGGTTGGATTCGGCCCAGTTCATCTCCGTTTGGAGCGCCTGTTCTTTTTGTTCCCAAAAAGGACGGAGAGCTTCTCATTTGTACAGACTATAGAGGTCTCAATGCCGTCACAGTGAACAATGCAGAACCACTGCCCCGTATAGATGATCTGTTAGATCGGGTGCAGGGCTGCAGATACTTCTCTAAGATAGATTTGAAGTCAGGCTATCATCAGATAGAGGTCCACCCTGATGATCAGTATATGGCCGTCACTTCTGCAGTTGACAGTAACAGCTGTATGGAAGTGACAGCATCATACATGCAAATGGTAGTTGAGGTTACAAAACCTTCATTCCATACTCAGCCTGTCCTTCCTGGTCCCGTTTTTTTTTTTTTTAAATTAACCCTTGTGCAAGGCCACTATCCTGGTGGTGGTACGAGAACCTCTGAGATTGAGGCTTGGCCTGACGGGCTGCTCCATCTGTTGGTGGGGAGCGTCACCTGCTGGAAACCGGGTCCCATTGTACCAATTATACAACTTCTGAGAATCAGTACACAGTGTAAGCGAGGTTTTCCTGCCAGCATTGAATACCCTGGAGTCCAGGGAATTGACTGAGCAAGGTGGGGGTTAGCCGGGAGAAAGGCCACCGCCTTGGACCCAGGTGACACCGGGCCCAAGGTAATGAGTCCCCCCCCCTCCTCCCTCAAATCAAGAGAAGGATCTGAGAAATACTGAGATGATGCTGTTGCTGCTTTGACCTTCTGTGGGGAGATCTGAAGCTCTGGATGCCCTGAATGCTTTGGGAACGGTCACAATGCAGCTCGATACTTCGAAGTAACCCCGCTGAAGCTCAAGCCTTGCCCCCCTCTTCCAATCCCTGTTACGTGCCACTTACCTCTTATCGAAGCCCCCACTCCCGCCAGTAGAGGGACCAACCCTCCCCCTCCCTCCCTCCCTCACCCGTTAGTCTGCTCCCTGCACTGTGTCCGTTATTGACAGCGGGTGGGGAGGGAAGGGGTCCCCCAAGTCTTGCGCAGATCTGTGCCGAATCCCCAGATTGTCCTTCCTGGTACTGCAGAGTGTGTGCTGTAATTGTTTGGACCAAGCTCCCAGTATTCCCATGCTGCACATCAGTTCTGAAACTCATGTTTCTGATTTTCATTTCTAGTGCAGAACTGGAAAACTGGACCTGGAACAAGGCCCAATGTCTGAAGGAAATTTCACAGAGTATGGCATAGGCTGTCCTGCTGTATTCTTGTGGGTAGGCTCCTCAACTCCTATCCAGAAGGTTGCAAGAAACCAGCACAGTACCAAGCTGAGCTGCTGGAAGACCAACGAATGCAACAAAATAATAATTGAAAAGTTTTAAAAGAGCACTGTCCGTTGTGTAGGAAGGAAAGGTCAAGAGAGTACAATCTCTCCTTGTCATCATTCTTTCCATGAGTGCCAACAAATATCAACAGACGGAGAACAGATCAATGATGACTGGCAACCCTTTCTCTTTTTTTTCTTGTCTTTTTCTGTTTTTTTTTAAAGAGTAACGGACTTGAGATATTATCTTCAAGCTAACTGGCCTCAGGTAGCCCTCTTCTCATTTCCTATCCTACGAGTAAATACCACATCCAGTTAATTTCTGGATAGTCATCTGATGCAGATTCAGTACATACGGCCTTGGGTCCTAGCATGAGCACAGTTGTTGACCACTTGGAGTGAATGGACACCTGAGTCGAATTCATGAGTGTATGAGTGTTACATGCTGTGCCTGCACACAAGGGCCATTTTCTAGGCCCTGCGTCCTTCAGGCCGAAAGCCTGAAATCCAGGGCTTACAGGCCCCGTGGCTGTTTCAGGCCGAAAGCCTGAAATCCAGGGCTTACAGGCCCCGTGGCTGTT